AATACGTCAATTCAAATTATTAAAAATGTGAGTGATTTTGTTTCCATTATTCGTCTGTAATGAATATTCTGTGTTGAGCAGTATAGACTAAATACAAAGCAATTGTTAAGCAGAATCTTGTATCCATTTACAATTTAAAAATTTCTTGAAAAGGTTTTTAGCAATTTTTGCAATAACAGGACCATATTTGCACAAATTCACAAAAGCAGGAGCCTGGTTGAAAGAACGTGACAACGCTTATTTTATATTCACAAATTATCAATAGTTTTTTCACAATTTTACAAAAACAGGACCTTTCACGAAATGTCTGGACAGACCCCTGTCATCAAATTAACAGTGGAAGGCTTACGTGATTTTTTATCTCCATAAAACGGTACCGTTAAATAGTTTCACTTAAAAAAAATCTTTCACGAATGTGAATTTGTTCTTTTATTTGATTTAGTAGTTTCCCATTCTGCAAAGTCTGAAATTACAAGATTACGAATTTAAATATGCTTAATTTTTTGGATATAATGTCTTTTTTTTAACCTGTTCAAAATAATATATATTGCTCATCATTGCGGATAAAAATTCGTAAAAAATGTTAAAAAAAGTAAAAAATATTTAAAATGTTATTTTCATACAGATGTAATCAAAAGTACATTGTTTAGACTTTGCTGTATTCAAATAAAGCTGTCTGATAATGTTCTCTTCGTTTTCAAGATTGTTTTCCAAGACAGAAGCTATCGTATCTATTTTTTTTTTCTGATTAAATCCTTCAAAAGCTGAATGGAAATTTATAATGATAAGAAAACCCTTGAATGACGTCACTATAAAGCCTAATTAGGAGAAAGTGAATTGACTCATACTGTTGATAAGTAACTGTAACCGTGAAGTTAGGAGTAATGCACCTTTGATATATATCAAAGTACCGTCAACACAAACTGTAGTTTGTTGTGTTTCTCGCATCAAATATAAGACGTGTATTATTATTTTTAAAATGTTTGAAAATGATACTTTGTATAAACTTATGGTTTGATTTTAGTTAAAAAGTAACTTTTGGACATTTAAACATTTAAAACATGTTCTGGACTTAACTTATTCATTAAAATTGCTAACAGTTAAAAATAATTTAGTTGTTTCCTGTACCTGTTAAAAATGTTAGTAGTTTTCGTTTCAAAAAACAAAAACGTAGAATTAACAAATACAATATTATAAATAACAAAATAAACGATTTTTAGAGACATATGATATTTGTTTTTTTAATTTGTGCACCATAAACACACACCCATATAACCCATATATATATATATATATATATATATATATGTAATAACAGGGCTCCAACCCTGTTATCAGTGTTGTATTTAGCTTGAAATAATTGCAGTCTTAAGCCATCAGACGTTCTAAACAGGTTTATTAAACGTAGGCTGGTATTGCTAACNTGTTAATCTGTTTTGTAAGTTTTATACCAACACAGATTTGAGGTAAAAAGGCACACTTCGTACATTCCTTGTAACCTTACACATTAAGGAAAATCATTGAACGAGGGAACGATTCTAAAAATAACTCTTCCTTTGAAATATAAATCTATTTATATTTCAATGGTATGTTTTCAGCCTTGAATTCCCAAAATAGAATCTCTCTACGCTTATTCTATAACAAGGACATTTCATGAAAACGAAAGAGTTTTAATTCTTTTATTAACACGAAAGTATTTAATTTATGTATTACACCCCCNCCCATAAAAAAAAAAAAATTTTTTTTTTGGTAAGCCAAAATAAAAAAATTTAGAATACTTTAAATTTAAAATTTTTAGGTTGGTACGACTGCTCCTTTTTCTCTACTACAAACAATATTTTTTCTATTATGTGAAGAAGAAAAAAAAAACAATTATTTACAATGACAAATATATGAAAAACATGATTATGCAAATTATCTGTTTAGTCAACTAAACAGAAAGAAAAATGAAACATGTTTATAAACTATTCTACTAAAATTTTCAAAAATTTTTTTTCACACAAAAATATACTAAATTTTTATGGAAACGAACTGGACAACAACTGTCATTTATTCAGAATTTAAGATTCTGTGTGGTAATAGGGGTTATTTACTTTATAAAATATATGTAACTATTCTACTAAAATTTTCAAAAACATTTTTCACACAAAAATATACAAAATTTTTATGCAAATGAACTGGACAACAAGTGTCATTTAATCAGAATTTAAGATTCTGTGTGGTTAAATGATTATTTACTTGATGAAATATAACTATTCTACTGAAATTTTCAAAAAAATTTTCACACAAAAATATACAAAATTTTTATGCAAAACGAACCGGACAACAAGTGTCATTTATTTAGAATTTAATTTCAACATTTGTGGTTTGTGATATTTCCTATGCTTTGATACATGTATTTTTTCAAATTTCTGTTTACTTAATTTTCCTTTTATTTATTTTGTAATCAGTTTCTTGGTCATTCTTTCTTTTTCCTATTTTTCCTTTTATTTTTTGCTTTTGTTACCCTTTACATATTTTTTCGTCAATATTAACCTGATAATGAACGCATCCATTACCTAGATCTATCTTCGAATCATTTGAACTTTTTGGACATTCTTTCTTTCTATTTTTTTGATGTTTACTTTTACTGAAACATCCTTAACATTCATTTTTTCGATGCTTATTTTTTTGAAACATCATTAACTTTTCTTTTTTCGACGTTTACTTTTTTTGAAACATCTTTTTCACCATTTTTAACCTTAACATTTTGAGAATTCTGCTGTTTAATGTGCAAAGATAAGTTGTCACTTTTAGAATTAGCAGAGATGATCAGTCTCTTACCAAATAGAGTAACAACTGGACCGACACAATCAATAAACAAACAAAAATCCCTGCAAGTCTACAACCTTACTAAAGCATATGGTAAATCAGTATCAAGCATAAAAACTTAGCTGATTTAAAAATTTAGCCTATCGTAATAAGGGAGACTCACAAATTTTGCTAAGTGTTAACTGTCCTTTTGTTTGGGTAATATATAAGTTTTCACATTTTTTAAATAGGAATATTTAGTTTTGACCAAGTCCGAAAAAGTAAGAGAATTATAAATTTCTTTAAGTTTGTTTGAAAATTCTTCATCGTTAGGTTCAAAAGAAAATTCAGAAAAATTTAGAATTTCGTTACGGTTTAATCTAGAAAAATCATTTGGAAATAAAAGTTTAAATAATAACTTAATTTTGTTTGCCGTCACTAGTTTAATTGACGTTTGAATCACATTTATTTCCTTTAAAAACATTTTAAATACACGATAAATAACAATATTATATCATAATTTTTTTTAAAAAAAAGCAATATAAGCACAAGAAATGCAATATAACTCTTAATAATATTCTATTGAATTATTCATAATAAAAAGTTTAGAGCAAGGCTCAAATCTAATTTCAATAAAATATTTACAGCATACTCGCCAACGTCGACCTTCATCAATTTCGTTGAAGAGAGAAAAAAAAATCACTTTTCTTTTATTTTTCTTTCGCGCACTTAAATCGTAGCAATTCATGATTAAGATTCGCGCACATTCTTTTTTGTTTTCACAACTTGAGTAGTAAGAATTGTAGGATCACTCGGTGTCGAATCACTACCATGGAAGATGTCTCTTCCAACTTAGAGGCACTATGGAATTGTAGGGTCATCGGATGGGATACTTTCACTGGTTTCAGGGGACAATCTCCAGCCATCGTCAAGTGTTAACAGTGAGATACAATTAATGCATTACATGAAATGTAGAGCTCGTTAATTGTAAAGCACACATTTGTTGACGCCGTCTAGTCAAGT